TCCTGCTCCAGGGCTGGATTTGCCGAGTACTCAGGGATGTTGGTGCCATTGGCCCCACTGTGCTGCCGCTCCCTCGGGGTCCCACTCTCCGTTTGGGCTGATCTGTGAGCTGCACGAGGCTGCAGCCCCTCTTTGCTCTGTCATTGCTGGGGTGCAGCGGCTGAGCAAGGTCTGTCAGGCATTTCTGCTCCAGCCTGGAGCTTTGGTTCCAAAGGAGGAAGTTTTTTCCCCCAAGGACAGGTGTGGGCTTTGCTCCTGCTGTGATTTATCTGCCCTAGGGTCAGGGTTTGCCTCTCCATCTGGGCTGGTTTAGCAGCAGCCTGGGCGGAGACAAGAGCACCAGGAGAGATGCCTTTTTTAACTGGTGGGTTGGTGGTTTGTTTTAATTTTTTTTCTTCCTAACTGAGGCAGTGGGTTCTGAAAAAAAACAGTTCCCCTTAAAGCACCTCTGCCCTTGCAAAGCACCGAGGGGCTGGTTACATGGGATAAACACGTCCCCTGTGAATAAAACCCAGCGCTGCTCCAGAGAGGAGGCTGGAAACCCCCGCAGCATCCTTCACTCTGGCTGTGCAGGGAGGTGCTGGAAAGGTGACAGGGATTTCCTACGGCATTTGGCGAAATGAGTCAGTGTGGCACGCATCCAGGTGGGCATGGCCGGCGGGCTGGGCAGGAGCCAGCTGGCAGCGTGAGCTTGGCAGCACGGGGAGGAAGCGTGGCATGCCCACGCGGTGGGGACTTGCCAAGGGCATGTCTGTGGAAGAGCAGGGATGTGTCCTGCCGACCCTCCGGCTGCCACTCCTCTTTCTGGAGCAGCCACGCACCAAAACCGAGCCCTCCCCAGGGTTGGCAGGGTCCAGGTGGGATGCGGGCAGCAGTGGGAGATGCTCCAGCTCAGAAGTGCTGGTACAAGGGGCGATGCCTGGTCCTTCCACTGGGTCACCGGTGCCACACAGCACAGCCAATGTCTCGGTGCCCTCTGCCCATATGAGTGCTGGGAAGGGCGAGTGCCCCGTGGGTGGCTACTGTTTCTGAGATGCTCTGCATTCCCGAGAAGCTGCGGTGAGTCACTTGCTTGCTCTCTCACATACACACAAAAAAAGTCCCAGGAAAGATTAGACATGGCTCACTTTGTTCTGAGTAATTTTTATCTGCCCCAGCCCCATATTGAGCTGAGAACTGCACAATTCAGGGAAACAATGAGCACTTTCTGCATGCATGTGGGTCATTGGCTCTGGCCAAGCAGGTTTCTCCAGGGCTCTCTGGCAGGAGTCTGTCCTGGCTTTGCCATCACATTTGCAAGGGAGGACAGTGCCCTGGCGCTGTCTCGTGGGGAGGTTTGGGGATGGGCAGATGTGCACATGCTGTGCCTCGCTCCAGGCAGGACTGGGATGCCAATGCCTCTCCGCAGTTCTCTCAAAGGCACAACCGTCTGCTACCGCCTGGCACATCCCGGCCCAGCCGTGCACGGGTGATGCTGACGCTTTGCAGTGGCACCCACATGGGTTTGCAGAGCCCTCAGAAGCACGAGGGATGCTAACGCCACCCAACTCGTGGGGGCCATGCGTACTCTTGCTGGGGCATGCAGGCTCCGGCTTAGCAGGCTGTGCCGGGGGGGCCAGGCTGTCCTCGACACACTTCACTCTGCGCTGGCTCTTGCGTGCCTGCACAAAGCTACCCACTGTGTGCAGTGAGTGCCAGGATCTGAGCCCCCTCCCCAGGTTATTTTCAAGTGTTCTCCAGTTTCACACCTGGATTCCCCTTCCTGCAGCCTTGAGTATCTTGATAATATATTTTCTCGGGTTAGACCCCATCTCTCCAGTTTTCTCTTATGTCTCTGGGTCAGGAACCTGGAGCTGCCTCCTGATAGCCAAAAATTGTTAGACCCAGCAATTCAGCACCTGCCAGTGTCACAACCATTAATTTCTGGCTGTGTCCAAGCTCCTGCCAGTGTAGCCTCCAAGGGAAGCTTTGCCTCACTTGCCTCTGTGATCCCTAGATGTTGTCATCCCACAGTGTCTGGAGCATCCCTGCCAGGGTTAGAGGCAAAGAAGCCCCTGTGCCGCCCCACGCAGATCTCCAGCACCCAGAGCTGGAGCACCCCTCCTGAAAGCCAACACCAACCCTAGCGTGTGCCCATCCCACGCTGCCACCCCCCAACTGCCCTTTTCACGGTCATGTTGTCTGCTTGGTGACATTTTCCCCATCTGCTTGTTTCTGGAAGAAACACCTTTTCCAGACTTTCCGGGTGAGCACAATCTCACAGCACTGGGAGATTCCCAGACAGGATGACTGGAGTAAAGTCACGTCCATACTGCAGAGGACACCGGTGCCAGAAGCACAACCCGGATCTCCCATGTCTCTCCCAGACCTCCAGACAACCCTTTCCCCTCCAGCACTGAACAATATCCTTCTACTTCACCGCGCCAGGGCAGGTGGTGCAAAGCACCCGGGGCATCCCTGAATATGACACACCACTTGTTTTGCCCCAAAATACTTGCTGGAAAACGTGGGGCGGGCTGTTGCTCATCTTCCTCGCAAAGAAAAGGAGCCCCAGTCCAGGCACGGAGCCAGCCGCCGGCGCATGAGCTGGAGGAAATGTGTTTCTCGCTGGCTTTTCGCCTCTCCGGGAGCAGGCTGGGTGGTGCGGGGGGAGAGCTTTCTGCCTCAGCTCCTGCTGTGTCAGCCAGCCCCTGGGCGAGCGCAGGAAGGAGTGGGCAGCCCCTCGGCGGGTTGGGGTTTTACACGGGGCGAGGGGGAGTCCCCCCAGGCGCTCCTTGCTGCTGCTGCGGAAGCCCCAGCCAGGCACAGCTGCCCGGGATGGTTTTCTCCCTCCGGCCTGGGGTTGCCGTAAGGACAAGGGTGGGAAGAGTGGGGG